TGGTTTTGTTTTAGAATTTTAGGATGGGCAAATGTTAGATGAGTATAGTTCTTATACTTTTCAGATGCAAAATGAATTATGTGTGAAAGGTGGTGGGATACAAATAGCAATAGCATTTAAACATATACTGCTTTCTAGTGCTTTACAGCCTTCTCTAAGTGGTTTACAGAGCCAGCGTGTGGCCCCCAACAATCTGGGTGCTCGTTTTACTGACCTTAGAAGGAAGGAAGGCTGAATCAACCTTGAGCCAGTCAGGATCAAACTCCTGGCAGTGAGCTCAGTTAGCCTGCAATACTGCATTCTGTATAAGTAAATAAATATCATAATTTGTAGAAGCACATTACTAATTTGTAACTAGTGGATGAACTAGGTCTCTCTAATTCATGGAAACCATTCCTGTAGCATAGTCCACAGTGTCTATTTCTATTACTAGAAACTTGGTGGACAGCAGCTATTTAATAATGATATTAATTCACCTTGTAACTTTCATTCATAAAATGATTTATTTGGAACCTGGTAGATTAATATAGACATGATGGCTAGTTAGCTATCAAGGAGATTAATAATAGTTAGAAGATATAATCATATATACCAGGCATGTCCAACCCACGGCAACACCAGAAGCCACTCTGGCCTTGCTGTTCGCCTGCCGCACTCCCCAGACACTCCCAGCAGCCGCGCATAGGCAACACTTGCCTGCTGCTCCCCTCAGAAGATCTTGCTCTCTCCTGTAACCTGTCACCAATTGCAGCCCCCTCACTCGCCCTTCCCAGCACCATTGTTGCCACCTGCCACCCGATTGGCTGGGGGCTATTTGTCCCATGTAGCCAAAGGCTGTCTGGGCAAATGGGCCAGGGGCGGAGGGCCAGCGGCCCATTGCCCAGGGAGAATGGCCAGGGGAGGGCCAGCAGAGGAGGAAAGCTGGCTGTAAATGGGCCGAGGCGGGTGGCTGGAGGAGAAGGAGGCACGACCAATGGTGGGAACCTAAAGATCCTAAACTCCCTGGCCTACATGAAGCCCTGGACAGCTAGTGATGCAGCCCCACAAGATAATAAAAAAATATATATATAAAGGAAGTTTGTTATTTATATAATGTACATTAACTATACATTAACTATAATATATATTTTATATGTGGCCCAGAACAATTCCTCTTTATTCAGTGCAGCCAAGGCAAGCCAAAAGCTTGGACAACCATGATACATAAATAAGAATACAAAAATATTGAAGTAAATGGACAGGATCCTAGTAGTCCAATAAGCAAACAACATGCTGAGTAGAAGAAAAATACCTAGGAGGGGGAATATAGTGTAGTTATAGTCAGTGCTTTTTTTGTTTTTTTAAAAAAGGGTGCCAGAACTTACACATGTCATACAATCCGCCTTGCCTACCCTACAAGGTTCCATCCAAAAAAGGTGCCGGAACCCCGTTCTGGGCGTTCTATGACAAAAAAAAAAGCCCTGGTTATAGTTATATTACTAACAGCAACATTGCTCTACTTGTAGAACATTTGAAATGTTGATCAGTTTAAATATTTTGGGACACTGATATTATTTTTGCTATCATCAGGAAAAATAGTATTTTATTTTTCAAAGACTTTGATTTTGGGGGAATGGATGTTTATATTCATGCAGAAGCCAATTTTGATAGAAAAACACATGCCTCTGTAAAGAAAATGATGGAGCAAAAGTCTTTCTGTCTGTCTGTCTGAAACTTGGCATAGTTATATTCCAATTGTGGATTTTACGAAAGGCATTCCTAGGTAACAGAATGCTTATTAAAAAAATTATGCTTGGCATATGAAAGAACTAATGAAAAGAATTTTTTTAAAATGCTCCATCTGGTATAACCAACAACAACAATATATATCACTGAATTACGCTGATTTATAATGGCTATTAGAGAATGCTATTATATAAAGCCCTGGTACAGGGCAAAAGTTGTATTTCATTTGTATTATAAAAGATTTGATGGATCCCCTGGATTGGAACTGGGAATAAGATATACTTCAGACTGTAAAGATTCCAAAAGTTGATTCTGGAGCCTTTTTTGTTGCATTGTTTGCTGTAGCCACAGCGTGGTGACCAGCTCGTGCCACCAGAATTCAGACTACAGACATATCACGTATAGAGAGTGAAAGTTTGCTTAAGTGGTTCTGCATGCTTCCAGTAAGGCAAAATGCACAGTGCAGTATCATAGCATTTGACCAAAATTGTATTCAAATTGCAAATATTTTAGATTGTGCCAGTTTGAGGAAACAGTATAAAGAAAATGTTGATACTCAGAGCAGGGGTTACTTTATAGTATTGCCAATTTGTCTGGTTTATTATAATGCCAGACATGAGAGCAGTATCAAGGAACAGATAAAATATATGTTTGTCATATTGGCTGTTTCCATGACATCTTGAATTTAATGGGAATAGTAATCTAAGTGCAAATGGAAGGCACCAACTTGAGAAAGACTGGAACAACAACAACAACAACAACAACAGAAACTATTCAATAGTAACTGTATGTGTTGTACTTGGTTCTTTAGGCCTGACATTAAGATGCTGGTTTCCAGAATATTAGGTCCAGATTCTAAAAGCTAAAATCCTGGATACAGCAACCTGGAGTGAGAAACCAAAACAAAGCTCTATTCAGATGAACATAAGGAACAGATAGGATTGTAGAAAGAAACAAGGGTAGAGGTAGAGACTTGTGACAGGAGGACTCTGTAAACATAAGCACTAGTAGTTTAAAGAGGATATCGGGAAGTTGGCAGTTGAAAATAATAAAAGAGATCCATTGAAACTTCTAAAAAAATCTGTTTGCTTGTTTGTTTATGGTACTGTATGTATAATCTGCCCCTTTCTTGGTGAATTCTGGATAACGTGTAACTATAAAAAACAGTATAAATTCAACAGGGAAATCTTCAAATCAATAGTTATGATAGGCACCATCCTTCAATCAACTGGGGAATGTGTAAGATTGGGATTTTTTTGTTCTCCTTTACTTCAGCCTACAGTGTTTTCTATTTTTCCTATAATTCTTTTGCAATTGCTCTAGTTTTACCAGCCTCCTCTTTGGTTCTGAGTCAGGTATGTGTTGCCTCTTAAGATCATCACATTGTTTTGATTAGATAACAGGTCACTTGCAACTGAGTTTGTATTTTGATGTCAGTCCTATTCCCCAAATGAGAATTTTTGTAATTAGACTACGCCTTTCCATCACATTTATCTGTGAAAAGGGGATTCATAACAAGGTAAAGGATTGGGGTGTGATTTTCCTTTTTTTAATAAGCACAATGACACCATCACACTTGGGAGTAGCAGCCATAAGAAAAGAGCTTATTTGAAATGCAGTCGAGTTATTAACACAGCAAGAATGGAAGCTGATTGATATAACTCCAAATGCATGCAATTATCTTCCCTGATATCTACTTACTAACAAATTTTCATAATTATGTTACCAGCATTTGCAGAATGTATTGATCAGCCATTAAGCTCTCTGAACGGGTTCACAGGAAAGTGTCTAGTTTAGGACAAGAAGCAAGCCCATTTCAATGACTTGCAAACCTGGCTTGTTTCAATACACATTTTAGGATTCAGATGTATTAAATATAATTGAAAATAGAAGAGAAAGATGGATTATCTCCTCCTATAGCCTTGCAGGAGCAGGAGGGGCAAGAGAGCACATGCTCCAAGGTTTTTTCATAAAATATAAAGTAACATTTGTCATTGCACACAGATGCAGTTAAGAGTCTCTTTCCAGTAAAAACCCTGTCTCTGGTATAGCTAGGACTTTTAAGACGGACCATATGCCAACCAGCAGCATGTGGTCAGACATCTGGATAATTATCCCAACTTGCAGAACCTCAAGCAATAATTGGTTGATGCAACTTCTTTCCTTCTGTGCATTTTTCCTCATGGAAATATTATTTCCTAACTCACAGAGCAACTTCCTCTTTTCAGCATCTCAAAACCAAATGTGCAAGTGTTTATCTCCTCCAGGTAGTTTTGTTTTTCTTTCTTTCAGATTTCATTTCCCTCCAACCATTTGTTTTCCCCTTGTTATTCCATAGATCAAATCTGTGATGCCTCAATCTCCACAAAGCACATCCTGTCAATTACCTTGGTGTGCATACCATGCATATGACACCTCCTTAGAGAATCTCACAAAACTGAAATTTCATCTAGACATTTAAATTAAAGCCTCCTTTGAAGGACTGAGAGAAAAAAGATGGTCTACTTCTGTAAGAGATCAAGAAGGAGAGGCTCAGATCAAAAGAGACCTGTTGCTTATGAGCTGAAAATGTGCAGATTATAACAGCAGATTGCATGAGAAAGATTGGAAACGAGGATTTGAGAAAATTGGACACTGCAAAATATGTACTGGGCGTCCAAACCGGGAGTTGTTATTGCTTTAATTATTATTGTTAAATTTATTGTTACTCGCTCCAAAAGACTGGCTGGTTATGTTATGGGCTTGCCTGTTTTGACACAATGTAAAATTTAATTGTTTATGGCACAGCTATTAAGTACATCAAGAATTCAATCCTATGCAATTTACCTTGTCCATAAGAGGGATTTTCTTCTGAAAAGACAGATACAGGATTGCTCGCTAAAATATAAACCAATTCTGCATATGTTCTAATCTAAAATGAATATGTGTGGAGATCCTATCAGCTAGTTTTTAAAAAGTGAAAAGCAAGTTGGCTTTTTTCTTTCATGAAAAATGTAGGGACAAAACTACATTTCTTTTTACAGGGACAAATAAATTGTGCTTGAGGATTTTCTATTTATATTGTTCTTAACTAGGTAGGTGTTCCTAGATGGCAGAATCACATTGAAGCACAATATGACAGGGCACTCACTGGTTTCCACATCAACTAGATGTGAGGTGGCTATGAAAAGACCAATTCAAGCTTGCATTATTAGGAAAGGAATTAAAAGATCTTGTGCAGATGTTGTTCTGTTCAAGAAAAAAATTAAGTATGTCAGTCAAATGGGCCCTGGACCATGGCTCAAGTCTGGAAGTTTAATGTAGACAATGGTACAAATCCAATTAAAAAAGATAGGCAATAAAAGAAAAACTTGTTCTTTAAGACTTCTGAATGTTCATATGTTGGAAGGGAGGGAGCATTATGAAGAGTTTATGGGCCAGATACACCATCAATTCAAAAAGTTTACTGTAAAATCAAAACATTTCAAACATTATATAATGAAATTGAAAGCCAGTTTGGCATAGCGGTTAAAGGCACAGAGCTAGACACATGGAGGCTATGAGTTCTAGTCTTGCTTTTGGACAAAGCCAACAAGATGAGGTATGTTTGCATTAACAGAGTTCTTTCTGTTTTCTTAATAAGTCTCCCAAAATATTATTATAAATCACTCGTTGAAATCAGGGGAGAATTCAAATATTTCAGAAATCTTGATTCTTTTGGCTGAATAAATCTCCAGGAAAGCCTCCTTCAATTGATTTCTTTGGACGTTTTCTTATTTTGCAGGGATATACAAGGGACACTGTTTTCGAATCAACCATTTCCCCGAAGACAACGACTATGATCACGATAGCTCTGAATATCTTCTCCGTAAGTGAAAAACCCAAAGCCTATCTAAATGAGCATTGCTGATTAGAAAAGGATTTTTGTGTGATTTGTTTCTTTTTAGAGAAACAATGCTTGAATTTTCATACATAAATGTGATCCATTATATTAACACCCCCCAGAAATTTTGAATCAATCATTTTGTTATTTTAATTAACAAGATTTCAATTTTACATTGTTGAAAACCCACTAGTATATCTGTACCAAAGGTGAATAGTCCATAAAATATAATCAGCTTTTGGGCAGCCCCTGTAGTTTCAACCTATTTGGCTGCCAAATGTCTATGGCTAGGTCTGTTTGTTCTAGTTTTGGCAGAATCTCCCACGAAGCACCATAAACAAAGTAACCCGCAATGTCTCTGTGTAACAGTCTGCAATGAGAGAGGGAATAAATATGGCTATTTAGCACCACTGTGGTTTCCATTCGCTTCCTTTGTTTTGCAATGATTTTACACAGTTTCTATCAGGTTTCTGCTGCTGGATTCCATCGTACATTTTAAGTCTCTAAATGTTATTCTTATATTCCAAAATCCTGAGAATAAAGTAACAGTCCTTGTTATTAAGTGCCTTCCCACTTGTTAAAGAAGTGCCCCGTTTGCCAAAGATCCAAAGAATTGTTACCACAACCTTCTTCCAGCTTTTCTTCCATCCAAGAAAGTTTGCAGAACGTCCAAAAGAGATTATTCCTAGGTGTTGTGTGGGAGGTAGATCCAACTTCAGTTTGCAGAGACAGGATATGAAGCTGAGAACTCATGGAAGCTGGTTTAAAGAAAGGATGTGTCTTACTGAACAGAGATAGAGAGGGTGATAAGTGAATTTGACCAACAAGACATGACTACATATATCTAAATCATACAATATTTCTCATTGATCCAGGTCATTTAAGGGCGAATCTGCAAAATCCCACCACTACTTTTTCCCGAATATCAGTTGGTTTCTTCTTAGATTTGCTGTTTGTACACATTTCTTTCCCAATTAATAATCATTTATTGCTTCTGCTACTTGTTTATTTTCATTTATATTCTGACTTCCCTTCAAATAGATAAACATGGTATCACCTTCATGTTATCTCAGTGAACCTCCTTCTTTTCTCCCTGATTTATCCACATTTGCATGCTTCCATTTACTGTTTTCCTCTCCTATCTTGCATCTAATTATTCTTCTCTGTGAGCTCTGTTTCTCAACCATGATCTATACTGCTTCTCCTCAGTGTTTTCAGTCTCTGCTTAAATCTTCTCTGGTTATCCAGCTGATTTTTTCAGTTCAATTTTCTAAATACTGGCCAATCTGTCAGAAAAATTAGAAAATCACCAATTTTTTCTGCCTAGGGAAGAAGAGAGATGATTTGCAGATGATAGCTAAACCTATTTTTTTTAGCTTTCTGATATTGGAAGAGTTAACAGCTACTTGAGAAGCTGCATGCATTAATGCTGCTGAAAACATTTATACTATAAAACTGTTAGAAGTCAAGTTTATATAGAGCTTCTGCTATATAAATGGTAGAAGTGTAGGAATTGTCTTTTAACATTCACTTGTAATAATAAGATGCTAAATAACCACAGCTGGGATGCCAATTGCTAGCATTCCTGGGGCAGGAGATTTTGGCAATTGTAATGCACTCTATATGAACCGGTCCTTGAAGACCATTTGGAAACCTCAATGGGGTGCAGAAGTAGCTACTTACATGCTAACTGGATCTACTAGCTATAGGCAATATAACATTGATACTGTGGCAGCTGCATTGTCTGCCCAACTATTTTTTAGCACAGTGCAGGATGCTGGTAATAGTTTAGAAAGAGTTACAAGGCTTAGAGCAGTGGTTCTCAACCTGTGGGTCGGGACCCCATTTGAGGTCGATCGACCATTTCATGGGGGTCGCCAAGCAAGGCTGTCCGCCATTTTTTTTGTCTGCCATTTTTTTCCCCTTTTCCAGCGGGTGCCTTACCTCCCTTGGGCTGGGCCAGCTGGTGGTTGGCCTGCTCCGTCTCTACCGCTTGCCAGCTACGCCTCAGCCGGCGCAGGGGGCGGAACCACGCATGCGCGGTGCTCCCGGGCAAGGAAAGTCCTCGACTTACGACCGGTTTAGTCCTCGACTTACGACCGGTTTAGTCCTCGACTTACGACCGGTTGGGGTCGCGGCATTAAAAAGGTTGAGAACCACTGGCTTAGAGTCTGGTTTTCTCCAAACTGTAGAGGGCATTGGCAATGGTCTTGAAGGAGAGAAGGAAGAGTTGCTACAAAGGCAACAATCATATAAGGTGGTCTTGAGCCCATTCCAAAAAACTAATTAGATAGATCTAGGCCAGGGGTCTTCAAACTTGCCCTTTTATGACTTGTGAACTTCAACTCCCAGAATTCCTCAGCCAGGCACAAGTCATAAAAGGACCAAGTTTGAAGACCCCCGATCTAGGCCCCTCCCTAATTTACAATTAAAGATAAATTGATGAAGTCTTTCAGACTTGCAAGACTCTGTTACTACAGATGTGACAATAAAAAGTATTCCTGGCCAATATGGCATTAGTTTCTTAGTTTGGTCTACCATATAGGGTTGGCACAAAGAGAATCTACCCATCCCAAGGCTTACTTGCAGAAGATGCTTGCTGAGTCTCTCCGTGTCTTCTCAGACTCAGCAGGAAGGGACTTGTTTTCAGCAGCTCTAGTGCTAGAACTATATTCCTATTTGTGATTCTTACAAAGCTATTAAAATTTTGTTTTTTTTTCAAAGATGCTCTGGGAGGGTAGAATTAAGAAACAGATTATCTGAGATATATGTTAGCACAATCAGAATAGATGTAATTTATTGAGTATTCTGATAGATTGTTTTAAATTAAGGCTGTTATGTACCAAGGATATTATTTTATATGTATTATTTATTGGGGAATGTCTTTTATTTTTTGTCTTAGGGGTTTTTTTGCCATTAGCTCTGTAGTGAGAAAGACTGAGGTAGCATTAAAGCCATTTTAAATAAATAAAATAAAGCAACTAGATGTAAATGTACAGGCAGTGACATGCAAATAATATGTTCTGTTGTGGTATTTAGAACAATAAGGTGCTAAGATACAAAGCACATGTTCGTTAATCAGTTCAGCTGTAGGCCACTGATCTAATGGAGTAACTATAGAAGGGTTGACAGCAACATGCCCTCCCGTTTTCAAATTATCCAGCAGTCTTCAAGAATCAGGTTTAAGGAAAATGAGGGAATTGTAATTCAAAATGACAAAAAAAAAATCCAGAACCTTCTCTGCAGACAAATTAAAATAAACTTCTGTGCCACCCAGGCATAAAGGAAGCTTAAATAGCAGGTTTTGCTATGTACAACTAACTCTTTTGGTATGTCCTATATCAAATTTTTTAGCAGGAACCCTCACAGTAAAACATACCTGTTAGACAATGGTAGGATACTTGGTTCTCATTTTTATGCTAAGACAAATTAGAAGATTGTTTCCTCAGTAAAAAGAAGAAAACTGTAAATAATTAAATATTCTGATATTATTCTTCATAAAAAGACCAGAGTGGATTAGTTTCTTCATTTTTTAAGATGCAAAGACTTGAATTCCAAGATTTAATTAGTCTTGCATGAGATTTAAAAAAAATGTATATTGTCAGCTTAGTCTTTTAGTGAATAGTTTTTTTTAATTTTCTTAAAGTTTAAAAATACTTACATATTAACTGAGCAAGCTTCCTCAGCTTGGTTATGGCTACAAAAATCCCAAATCTCCCAGCTAGCATAGCAAGTGGGTAGACATTATGGAAATTATTATCCCATTTGTAGCAGCCTATAAATTTAATAATGAATATCCAGAGATTGTCTAGTTGAAGTATGCTGTTCTAGAGGATGACATCAAGAAATTATGATAAACATGAGTATACTTAACCTTTGCTGAATAGTTGAAATAGACAATAATAATAAAGCCTTTAGTTACTTTTTTTATGAGAAGTCTTTTTTCTCTCTAACTAAGCACTAAACAATGAATATTATTGGAACTTGTTGTTCTTACATTGCCCATACACAGCTGGACCACAGTGCAGAGGCGTAGCGTGGGGGGTGCAGGGGGGGCCAGCCACACCGGGCGCAACATCTGGGGGGGTGCGCTCGCACTCGCAGCTCTCTGCCCCTGCCTGGCTCACTCACTCTCTCTGCAGTGCTGGCTGTGCGAATCCGATCCGAGCCGCTGGGTCGCCGACGCCGCCCACTGTGGAGGGGGGCGCAAATTACTTGCCCCGGGTGCTGACAACCCACGCTACGCCACTGCCACAGTGCCAGTCACTCCACAATTAATTTGAAAAGGAGGCTTTAGTTCCTTATTCCTTCTTTCCTTTTGTCCATTATTCCTCTCTCATTCTTTTACTTAATGATGCTTCCACAAAATAAAAGAAAAATGCCAGGTATTAATATTATGATACACACAACAATGTGAGATCAGCTGTCGAAGCTAAAGTGCTCTGAGACTTTAGAAATCAGACAGATAAGCACTTCCCACATAATACCCCAGATTTGACAGTTGTAGGTAAGAAAGACAAACAAAGTTTGGATGATGGATATGGTAGTACCTGAAGACAGCAGAACAGAAATGAAAGAACTGGAGAAAAATCACAAAATATAAGGACCTGTAAACGGAAATAGAATGACTATGGCAAAATAAAGCAAACGTAGTAGCAATAGTAATAGGCACCTTGGGTGCAATCTCAACACAATTGGAGCACTGTTTGAACAACATTGGTATTGACAAATTCACCATAGTCAATTGCAAAAGGCAGCTTTATTCGGAACAGCTTACATCCTGTGATGATACCTCTAACACCATCAACATCTGCCTATCCAGGTCCTCAATAGGTAGACAAAAATGCCAAATCCAGTCAGAACATCTGGCTGATTACAATGATTCATAATAATAAAGTGTGGATAATAGATGTGTCAATACCAGGAGATACGGTAGAAGAATAGAAGACAAAGAATTGGAGAAGATCACAGAGTATCAAGATTCC